ACACGTCATTAAGTTTGCAAGTCAAACGATATAGACATGTATAGCATGCGTAATGGAGATGTATATATGATATGATAATAAAAGATATCGTTAAAGATTACCTATAAATATGTAGAAATACAGATAGATATTCTTAAAATACTAGCAATGTAGATAGGTAGCTTGAGATGTAAAACACATATTAAGCTGTTACAAACGTATGTTGAACTAGAATTGTAGATATAAATATATATATATATACATACCCACCTTGTAATAACATATGTTGTACCAATACCAATCAGTCATATATAGTGAAATCGAATGCGGATATTTTCATCCTGAAAGCAATAGCCATATCTGAAATGTTAAAATAGCTATAGAACTGTGGTTACGAAAGCTTAGATGGTTTATTTAGTCTTTTAGAATACTGAGTCATAAGTTCTATTAAAACCTTTGCTAACACATCCATAAGTGAAAGATTTCGTTAGGCATTTAATAAACATAAAAGGAAGCCTTAAGGTAGGCATAATTACTATGTACAGAGACATAATTTTCATTCCCAGTGATATAACTTACACGACGTATTTTCGAAGTTAACTCATTAATATTAATTTCAACAATTCGATCACCATATTAAGTAGTGAAGGCTAATGTTTTTTTTATGTCAAGTCGCCCCAAAACAATTAAAAAAAAACATTACCGCGAAGGCATGCATTTGTATGAGCCGTCTAGATGACCATTACGACCACACGAAGCTCTTTCTGGTCCAAGATTTTTTTTTTTTGGGGGGGGGGAGATGTTTCGAATTGCGATGTGCGGAATGTTAGAAGTAGTTTTCTACTCTTGAGACTGAAGTGAAATTCATGAAATTCCACTTCTTCCCAAGTAGATGACGTGAAATGTACATTATAATCTACTTCTATGCTATATAAGTGTTTTCACGTTCTGCATCCAAAGAACATTGACATCGTGATAAGAAACTAATCACTCTTTATGTATTTCCAAATCTCGCCCTCCCCTGGAGCTAAAACTGCTTGTGGTTTTATTAATTTAATATCCGATCAACTATATATATATATGAACTAACAATGACATTGTGATATGAAACTAATGACTCTTTGTACTTCCAAATTTAGCCTTCCTCTGGACCTACAACTGCCAGTGGTTTTATTAACTTCCTATCCTAACAACAGTATGAACTGCTTTCCTTCATTTCTTATCTGAATTTCTTTATTTTCCTGTAACACTAAATAGATATTTGGATTTCCACTTTACCAAGTGTTGCATTACTAACTTTATATATCAAAGTCTAGAAGGTGACATATACCAAGTGTTGCACTACTAACTCTATATATCAAAGTCTTGACGGTGACATATACCAAGTGTTGCACTACTAACTTTATATATCAAAGTCTAGACGGTGACATATACCAAGTGTTGCACTACTAACTCCTTTTATGAATGTCTAGAAGGTGACATATACTAAGTGTTGCACTACCAACTCTATATATCAAAGTCCAGAAGGTGACATATACCAAGTGTTGCACTACCAACTCTACATATCAAAGTCTAGAAGGTGACATATACCAAGTGTTGCACTACCAACTCTATATATCAAAGTCTAGAATGTGACATATAGCAAGTGTTGCACTACTAACTCTATATATCAAAGTCTAGAAGGCGACATATACCAAGTGTTGCACTACCAACTCTATATATCAAAGTCCAGAAGGTGACATATACCAAGTGTTGCACTACTAACTCTATATATCAAAGTCTGACGGTGACATATACCAAGTGTTGCACTACTAACTCTATATATCAAAGTCCAGAAGGTGACATATACCAAGTGTTGCACTACTAACTCTATATATCAAAGTCTAGAAGGTGACATATACCAAGTGTTGCACTACCAACTCTATACATCAAAGTCTAGAAGGTGACATATACCAAGTGTTGCACTACTAACTCTATACATCAAAGTCTAGAAGGCGACATATACCAACTGTTGCACTACTAACTCTATGTGAAAACCTGTGTGACTTGATGATGCTACTTCACTAAACTACTGCTATCTTAAACCAATATTTTTTCTTCTTTTTCATGATTATTTCACATCCAGATGTTACTTCAGCTTAAACTCGTTTACATGAAATAAGAAGTTCGATTATTTTTAATCGGACCTGCTGCTGGGCCACTAAGGAGGGGATTGAAAGAAAAAGAGCAAAAAGTAGGGTTAACAAGTCAAATATCATTAAATTAAACGTGCTGACAGGGCGATGTTGATGTTGTTAGAATTTATAATTAAAGAAGCAACAGATTTACAAATAGTAATGGCAGGAATATAGAAAGGCGAGAGAAAAAACTTTTGAAGAATATGTGCAAGAATATTAATCAAATACTTGAAGAACAAGAATAAAAAAACGTTCAAGTAACTAAAATTGGATATGTTAGGATATCAATATTTTAATGAATTGATTATAACGATACTACGTGAGCGTAACCTTATAGAAACTGAACAGAAAAAAAAACAACAACAACTATTTACAATTAACATAATTTATATTATCCAGCTCCTTCGATAACTAATGTCACACAAAATCGTTTCACAAGCTGAAAACATCTCTAATCAAAAAAACATCTTGGGCGCATCCAGGGTTGCGAGGAATAAAATGTTACTGTAAAACAGCAAAGAAAAGAACGCCGCCATATCATTATAGTTACATCTTAGAACATCTGCGTGGGAAAATTGAATAACCTGAAAAAAGGTACGTGTTCCAAAAAAAAAAAATAAATAAATAAAGCGTAAAAAAATGAGTGTATGGTCTCTCGGGCGGTTACTCCGACTTAAACAGGTTACGTGGAAAATTGACCATCAAGAAAAAAAACTTTCATTAAACTTGCTGCTTTCTTCCTCTCTGCCAAAATTGGCAAAGTAAATTGCCTGAAAAAGAAACAATTCGGAAGAAAGGCAGTGAGAAAGTTTGAAAAATCACTGCTCTTTAAAAATAATTTTAGAAAAACACCATAAAGTATTTCAGTTGTTCTTGCGTGTTTTATATGCTGTGCCTATGTAACATAAGTAATATTTTGAAGCAATAACAACATAACTTTTTTCTTCTTAAAGTTGACCTGGAAGTGTACATCAAATAGGATAAATAACGAACATCGAAAGATAGACTAGTTCTTGCGATTTGATTTCGTTTCTTATTTTGGTTATTTGTTTTAGGTGTTGTTATGTGCTTTAAGGATTGGAGTAATGTCATTACATAAAACAGCACTACAAACGTAATAAACCTGTGTAGTCAAATGTACTTACTTTAAGGATTGAAGTAATGCCATTACATAAAGCAGCACAAACGTGATAAACCTGTGTAGTCAAATGTACTTACTTTAAGGATTGAAGTAATGCCATTACATAAAGCAGCACAACCGTGATAAACCTGTGAAGTCAAATGTACTTACTTTAAGGATTGAAGTAATGCCATTACATAAAGCAGCACAAACGTGATAAACCTGTGAAGTCAAATGTACTTCTCTTGAACCGAATTCGAGATTAAATGTCGAACGTTAAAATCTTTATAGTATTTGTATTAAACAAGGAATCGAAACCAAACTCACAAAATTAGTATATATGTAAAATGCACGGGTCAAGAGAGAGAATAAATCCCCAAAATAACAATAATGCATGGTGAGGAGGTGATACTGAATTTATTAATTTTTACCCCCAAATGAAACTAATAACAAATTCCTATTTTATTTTTGAAAAGAAACAGAAATATATAATCCAATATTTCTTACAGATATGTAGAAAATGAAGAAAGTCAGAGCTCAAGATTTATAAAATTAAAACCTATAGTGTTTGGCGATAAGTGAGAGCTACTTAAATCACATGCCCGGCATGGCCAGGTGGTACGGCACTCGACTCGCAATCGGAGGGTCGCGGGTTCGAATCCCTCT